ATGATCCTCTAACGTCATACGGAAATCGTACAAAAATCGTGGCCCCAGAAATCTTACATCAAGTCGCACATTGAGGCTCTTGAAAGCTCTTGCTGCTCTGTAGGAAATTCCAAAAACATTATAGAAAATCTTGTCCCACGGTAAGATCTTACAAGAATCTTAAAATGCAATTCGATGTAAGATTTCTGGGACCACAATTTTTTGCAAAATTTCACCTAATCTTATAAGACCTAATGTCTGATTCTATAACCTGGGTAGGGAAGGATATTATTGGATCCGACAACTTCAGATGAATGCATTCGACAAAGTTCTATCGGATCCTCAGAGTAAACTTCGGAGATCCGACACGATCCGAATGGATTTCACATATAACCGTTCAATACTTAACCTGTTTCGCATTCATTATAATTTGCAATAAATTAAATAAATATTAAGATTTATAACAATGGTAAAAATTCACTGTCTAGTCTTATGATCTTGTTAATGAGATCCATACACAAGATAAGCCCAGATAACGTTCTTAAACATTTGCACAAATATTAAAAACGAATACATTATATTCCTTTGCCTCAATGCTTATCCAGATATCCTTATAATAGCACTCTTACCCATATACTCCAATACCTATACCCATATACCTATACTCTTATATCTATACCTTCAAACACATATCAGCAAAAACGCGTAACGCGTAACCTCAGTCACTATAAATTCAAAATCATCATTTCAGTAATTCATTATTACTATCTTGTAGAGCATAGTTCGTAGGGTACAGAAACATATTTTGTTCTTTTAATTAGTGTTGAGAATCATAGTCAGTGTTTAATAATAAAGATGGCTCTAATATGCAAAGAAGAATAATCATATCAATCTCGTAATTAATCTAATACTTCTATCGATACACTTTGATATACACAAAGGTAATCAAGAGCATTTGACTCTATGCTAATAAGGGTATAATTTGGCACAACAATCGATTTCCTATTTTTTACAGTTTGTCATAGCCACATTCAGTAAAACTATCAAATTTATAGCGTCATCGCGTAACGAAAAATAAGTATTTTTGTTTTTTTCATTCGTTCGCGTCAACTTTTTTTATGGAACATTCGGTGTCTAAAGCTAATTTAATATGGGCTATCTGATGCATGTATTCTTATAGAAAAAGAATTCATTGTATAGTAGCCATACGTAACGCGATGACGCTTTTTACACTTTTCGTGATTTTTGGATATTTAAGAACAGAGATTTTTGGACATGGAATCAGTATTCAAAATTCACTATTCAGAGTAGATAATGGATTGTATCATTGATTATTGGTAAATTGTGATAAGAATATATTCGATTGGTCCACATAAACAATAGCCAATAAAAAATAAAAGTACCAATTCAAATTAACGTATTGTTTTAATCGAGTCAATCATCTTTAATTCTAAAAATAATGTCAACTTTGTACCTTTCAAAACTATATCAACCTCTTATTAATTGAAAACATTCTAATATTATTTAAATTCGTTGAATATTAATATATATCATTATTACGGTAATAACTAAATTAATGGCAAAATCAAACGCTGAACGACAAAAAATGTATCGAATAAATTTATTGAAAAATAAACAAAAATTTGATCGAATGAAAGAAAAATCACGCATTCGTGATAATAATAGACGTAAAAATTTAAATGATTATTCATTACAACAATTACGTAATAGGCAAAAACAAGCATCGAAAAAATATCGTGCTAAAAAAAATCTTGAAGGTACAAATAATAAACAATCATCATATAAATGTCCTCAAACACTTGGCAAAGCAGTTAAACGTGTTGTTGAATCTTTACCAAAAGATACAAATAAACGTGTTACTGTAATACGTCATATTGCACAAGAACTTGACATCATTCCTAAAACAATATCACATCACAAACGTGTACAACGTTCATTACCAATTGAATTAAAACAATTGGTCATAAATTTTTATAATCGAGATGATATAAGCTATCAGTTACCAGGCAAACGAGACTTTATCACAATTAAAGATGATAATGGTCAATCAACAACAGTACAAAAAAGAATTCTGTTATTTAGCTCACGTGAAGCACATTCATTATTTTTAACTGAATATGACAATACAAATGTTCATTTATCATTAACATCATTCAATGATTTACGACCATTAAATATTTTATTACAGTCTCACATGTCACATCGTAGTTGTTTATGTGCTTATCACGAAAATATTAATTTGTTAATAAAACCTTTATCAAGATATATTTCATGTTCTGGTTTAAATTCTCTTCAAGCATTTTCAGCAACACTAGTCTGTTGTGAAACAGATGAAAATTGTATGTTTAGTCGATGTTCCTTGTGTGCAAATAATTTTGATAATAATATAACAAAACATGTTATTGATTTTACACAAACAATTAATTGGTATCAATGGGTATTAAAAAATGGTTTTTCAAGAAAAGTTGAATTTAATGGTACAATTCAAGATTGTTTAGCAATTTTGAAATCAAAAGTTAATGAATTTTTATCACATGTATTTATTAAACGTCAGCAAGCAGCTTATTTTGAAAAAATAAAAACAAATTCAACTAATGAAATTATTTGTTTACAAATTGATTTTGGTGAAAATTTTCGAATTGATGTTCAAGATTCTATACAAAGCTCATATTTTTCAAAAAAATCAGTTTCATTAATTACTTGCTATGCTTGGTGTTTAAATGTTGGTTATTCATTTGTTTATGTAACAGATAATCTTACACATGATAAGTATTGTGTAAGTGCTGTATTAGAAGATTTATTTTTGAAATTGAAACAACAATATCAACAGTTAAAACAAATTCATATATTTTCTGATGGTGCAAGCCAACAGTTCAAACAAAAATTTTTGTTTAGGAATCTATGTCGTTTAGCTGCAGATTTTCAAGTAATTATTTAAATTATACTTTTACAAAGTTTCAATTATAATGTAATTTAAAATTATTTAGATCAAATTATCTTGGAATTTTTTTGCCACCTCCCATGGGAAGGGCGTGGTAGATGCAGTTGGCGGAACAACAAAACGTCTGGTCTACAATGCAATTATGAGTGGCCAACAATGTAGTTCAGCTGCTGAATTTGTGGAAATTGCTCGATCTAAAACAAGTACTATTAATGTTAATGAGTTAGAAGAAAGTCAAATTGAGCAATCAAAAGCAAAAATGGAACCAATTTTTCAATTAATACAAATAGTACCAGAAACAAAAAAGATCCATTCAATCAATGTACTTGAAAATAATACAATTGAGTATAAATATTATTCGAATAGTACAACTAAAAAGACATATCGATTTCCAAGTTAAAAAATTGTACCATGTAAAATATTCCTCTTTCATTTAATTAAGTATTATTTTATATGAACATAGTGAGACTATATTTTATCAAGATTAGCATTAGGAACAAGATTGTTGTACGTGTACAGTAGTTATTTTGTGTTTTTGATACTCCAATCTTGTACTATTTTATATTAACATAGTATTTTATTTTGATGACGAAAAGATTTTTTATTTTTATTATATCGATTGACTACTTATTATATTGATATCGTTGATTAATTTATTTTCATCATTTGTATATGAAAATCATTAATAAATGTGATATTTGACGCCTCTTTATGATATAGATTGAAAAAAAAGTAGTATGTTGTCTTTACAGTTGTACTTGTACCAAAAAATGCCATAAAAAAAACTTGTTAGTAAAAGTAAGCGTCATCGCGTTACAAGTGCATCATCGCGTTACATTGATAGAAACATTCTATTTTCAAAATAAGAAGTCAATTTGAAAAATATTTTTCATCGCTGAATACCTCACACTGTTTACTACAAAAAGTCTTTAGAGTGTTGTGTTCTAAAGAGTTCACATTCGCAGAAAAATAAAGAGCGAACGCACTACCCTCAACTTTTTGTTCCGTGCGCGTCATCGCGTTACGCCATTTATTTTTGCTATAAATTTTTGACGGCCCACTCAAATAAGCTCCAATTTAAACAGGTTATGGGGAAGGCAGAGACTTATCTTTCGATACAACAGTAAACGTTCTAGCTAATCTTATTAGTGATAAAAGTTAAAAGTACTGTGGCCAAAGCGTCATCGCGTTACGCTCGAGAAAGCTGATATATTACTGGTAATATCGCTGTGCCTATTATCTTTCACCTACAGATCTGTAGGGGGAGCTAAAAGTTATGGCACTTCAAGGGATGGGCGTGCCCAGATGCAGAGAGCCAAACTCACACCAACAATCCACAACCCTCACCGATACCTCACACTTTACAGTCACAACCACACGCACCAAACCCACCCACCCACGTTCACACTAATAAACACCCACATCCGTCCATACCCACAACCACACGCACCAAACCCACCCACACAGGTTCACACTACCACACACCCAAATCCACTCATACCCACACCCACACCCACACCCACACCCACACCCACACCCACACACCCACGCCCACCCACACCCAGCCACCCACACCCACACCCACCCACACCCCGCACCCACACCCACACCCACACCCACACCCCACACCCACACGCACACCCCAGCCACACACCCACACACCCACACCCACACCCTCATAACATAAAAAACATAGTTATCGCTGATACACTTTCTTCACGTTTGACAGAAGAAAAAACGACAAACTATCATCTTTCATTATTAACAAAAAATGGCACAAGAGATTATAAACCGTATGAATTGCATTCATCATAACTTCATGAAGCTGCACTCGCGTATATGTTATCGATCTTTTCATCAAAACTAAACGATTGATAAATTTTCTTGCATACTCTTGATTATGCTGTAACTAAGGAAAATTTTCTGTCTTTTGAGTTTAACTTTTAGCCGTAGTCGTTTTAACTGAAAATGTCTTATTTCTAGAATTAATTGGAAGACTGTTATCATATTGTTCTCGGTTTTTTCTTCTTTCTTTGTCATAACAATACTTCATGTAGATATGAATGATAATGTGAATCAAGGAAAAATTCAACATCAAGTAATTTCATCAAAGGCGTTAATGATCATTGGCATTGGATTATTAACTTTGGCAATTATTTTTGTTGAATGTCAATGGCTAAGAGCATTAGAATCATTGAAAAATCGTATTTTAATGAATTGTGAAAGTAGTTCTACAACTGCGTGTTTTGGAAATGCGAAAAAATTCGAGAGTATTTGTCAATGGTACTTTTTAAACTATACATCAAGTTCGTGGGAAAACATTTGGTTTACAAATATTGAAGAATTTCAATATAATGTTTGTGAAAGAATAGCAGATGCAAAAAATTTAAATAAAACGGTGCTAGCCGTTGAACGATTAATGGAATTGCAAAAATTTGGAAGAAATCGCACTCAAAGTGATAAACAACACGCTGATGAGCTTCTATCGAAAATGTTTTATCGACAGGAATGTATCAATCCATTAACAAAAGTATCTTTTCAAGAAGTAGAAGTGTCACAAGTCATTGAACCACTCATTGGTTTACTACGAGATCCTTTAACGATATGTAATCGTATTAATTCATTATCTGCCTCTGATTATGAAGGCGCAGCACTTCAGTCAAAACGATTTTTCTTATTATCAGTGGCAGCTCCATTTTATATTCATTCATCACAACAAAATCATAGGGGCAATTTACAAATCAATATTCAGTCAAATAAACGCAATACGAATGTACTTCCTTGGATGTATCAAAGATCGAAATTAAATTTGTTAGACACGGAGTTAGATATAGATACGAGAAATGGACAGAACATTCTAATTGATTTGGGAAGTTCCTATTTTGGAAATTGGGGTAGTGATTCCAGTGCTGCTGCAGGACGTTGGTTTTATGAACATTACAAGCATTTTGGTGTTAAATTTGATCGTATTATTGCTTATGAGCATGCTCCATTAGATCCCAAAACTGCTTGGAATCAGTTACCTGACGATGTATTTCCTGTTTATAGTCTAATTAATGTTGGTTGCGCAACAAGTGGAAAATTCAATCCATGGGTAATGTTGAAAGCACTAGCTAAACCACATGACCATGTTGTTATTAAGCTAGATATTGATACTCCAGCAATTGAGATTCCTCTAATGGATCAACTTCTAAATGATTCATCCATTAATTCCTTAATAGATGAAGTATTCTTTGAACATCATATATCTGTGAGAGAAATGAAACAATATTGGGGAAATCCACCAGGAAATTTAAAAGATTCGTACGTTTTGTTTACGAAATTGCGACAACTTGGAATTCGTATGCATTCATGGCCATGATATTGGTTTTTTGAACTATAAGAATCAGAGCTACAAACGACAATTGACTCAATTCTTTATGTTTGTGAGTCTGCCCGTAGCTTCTCAAAAGAGATACTTTTTAAATAAGCATTTAGCTATTTAAGTACTTACATAGCTATTTAAATTTTTCATACCTGTTTATAAGTACTTGCTTAGCTATTTAAATCTTTCATAGCTATTTAAGTATTTGCGTAGCTATTTAAGTACTTGCATAGCTATTTAAGGTTTCCATAGCTATTTAACTAGTTGCATAGCTATTTAAGTATTTAGATAGCTATTGAAATCATTCATAGCTATGTATAGTAGCCTCAACAAGACTCATATGACCGATGACTAATGATGCCATAAGTCGATTTGGAGAACTTTCTGGTACATAATCAGTCATTGAAGTTTATGTGACACCAGTTGGCCGTCGGTGAACAATAGCTATATTTATAGAATCTTCTCAATATTGTATTCATCGAATACTATACATAAGATATCCTACAACTATACACAAAACCGTAACAAAAAATAATTCCTGCTATATATATATAAGAATCAAATCCGCGAAATGTACTCATAATAAATAATGG